ATGAGCTTTCAAGCACCCATGACTTTAAGTTCTTACCTACACGACGCCTGCAGCAAGACACACTTGAGAACGTTTTTGGAGCTATATACGACAAATGCTGGGCTGCAACACAAACCCAAATGTGCATCAGTTCACCTCAGGACTAAAACACCTCTGGATAAAGAAACTGTTCAAACTGTCGGACAATGAAAACGTAGAGGATGACAAGGCTGACCTCCTAAAGGAGTTGCAAATATCTTCGCACCATGGAAGTTTAATTTCAGACATTGTGGAATGTCTTCGAATTGATAACTTCCCGCCACTAGAGGATATTTCTGAACTGGCATCACTCATCAGGTCTAACATAATTGATGACTCGTCCACTTTTTTATTACGTTTGGGGCTATTTAATCAAACTTTTGCTCGAACAGACAACTTACAGCTGTGGCTGTTCTCAGCTGCTATGGGATGAGTCTAATAACTTGACCAGGCCTCACCAGTACTCTCTTGTTCCTAAAGCATACCACGTGCCTGGAAAATTCTTCGGGAACTTAGTAGTACCATCACAGGCTGCCTTTCATTTCGTTCAGAAACTAGAAAATCATTTTTTTCCCCATAATAGTGAGTGTGACACATGTTCGAGGAGTGTGTGCCGCCTTTTATAGCACACTTTGAGGTCTGGGTGGTTTTAGCCTTTGCCCAGAGGAGTACCACAAAGGGTTTTTAAAATTGTTTTACAGAATACGCTTGTGTTGACATGTTTGATTTCTTAACCGGAATTTGGACAAAGTTCGGTTGCACTCTTCAGTGGCTAGTAAGAACGAGACAGGTTTGACTGTTAATAGTGTATTAACAGAGGCGGTTGCCAAACCAAAAACAAAAAATGCTTATTAAGTGGGCGGTGCAGCTTGCTCTCCAAATATTTGTTTCCCCTTTTTCCAGCGAATGTGTATCACAACTCCCTAACAAAACTATTTGTCCACTTTCTACAGAATTTCGATAGAAAATAGTGTATAGAGGCTAAAAATATTTGAAAGAAAATGTATCCACTTTTGTATCCACTGTCCATAGTTTTTTAGCCGCTTTTTTTCTGAAGCCATATTTCTTTTCTGAACAATTTCAGGGAATGTTTAGGGACGTTGAATCTTGTCAGATTTCGAATAGAGCTCTCATTGTTTGGTAATGGCTCGACCGCTGTGAGTTTGAGGCTATGCAAATTGTTTTTTTTTTTATATTTGCCGGAAATCGGGAATTTGTACTATCCGGCGTGTGCTTCGCACTGTTAATATACTCTCATGACTGGTAAGGATAGCGATGCCTTATTTATTTTTACACTTACTTCCCGTACCCGAGTCGGCGTGAAAGTGAATGTATCATACAGCATGTTCTCCGTGGAAAGGTTTTGTTAACTTGGTTCCGCTAAGAATCTATTACGAAGTGTACGATATGCCTAAGTCCTTCATATTCATTTATTTTGGTGAGTATCGATCTCTTTCGTATAAAACATACAGGGCTTCTGAAGTAAATCATATATACATGAATGTGGTCCAATAAAATGTGTTCGAACCACTTACTGTTGTTGACCCCAAAATGCTCCACCAGCCAGGAGTCAATGCGGCGATTGTGTAACTTCAATGCTTTACAGTAGAAAAAGAACAAGAAATATATATAGTTCTGCTTTGTGAAGTAAGTTGAAATATTGTTTGACACATTTTGCACGGACTCTATCGTAAAAAATAAAGCACAAGTGTGTGCGTCAGTATTAAAAAACACAAAAAAAATAAAAAAAAATCCAGCGGCTTTGGGAGTTAAGGAGCTCCCGAGAACCGAGCGAGGCGGGGAGGAAAGAGAGAGAGAAGGGTACCGGAGAAACCGGAGCAGAAACGCCCAAACCGAAACCGAAACTAACTTGACCGGAAACGGAATCAGATTATACTTAATACCGCCCGGTAGGAGCGCTACCTGTCACTGGTCTATCTGGGCCGCTGGGGCCTATGGCAGTGTCCCCTCTTTACCTTGTGTACATTACTCTATGGTCTAACGACGACGACGTCAACACAAGGCACGAGCTGAGTGACGTAAGCTTGGATATGAATAGTCTGACATGGAACCCCGACCACAGGTAAGGACAGCCCGCTCCTCGCGACGTGCAGATAAAGTTCGCTTTTCACTCTCTTGTAGGTCTGTTAATAACATTTGCACAACCATTTGTCCTGATCAGTGAATCTAAACTTTTTTTATCAACGGTTTCCGCGCTCATATATATTAAAGTCCCCACCAAAAATTACATTACATTTTTCTTAATTACCAAAAACCAAAAAAGTCTCGAAAAATTAAAAAAAAAAGATTCAATGTTGCCGTTTGGTGGTCGGTACCCCACAGCAAAGATATTCTGGTTATTGCGTATACACATCATTTCATAATCTTGAGTGATGCAACTATAATCACCTACTAGTTCACCAGAAACACGTTTTGTCAAAATGGCTAAGCCACCACCGCGTTTCTCTTCACCACTTGTGTAAAAAGAGCGGTATGTAGGGAGTTGTAGTACATAAGTCTCTTCAGTGTACCAGGTTTCTGCAAGCATGATTGCATCGAAAGAATAACCAAACTGATCGAAAAGTAGCTCAAGATCTAAAGCTTTGCTTTTCGCAGTCCAAACATTTAAATGGAAACAGGTCATCTGTGAAATATAATCTGCACCAAGATAGCTTATCAAGTTCTGCGGCGGCGTTAATTGCCATAAAAAAAACAAAAAGAACAGAGGATATTATCGTTGACCGCCCTAAGATAGAAATTCACGTTTAAGATCCTGCAAAAATGCCCGTCTTTATCCTCGTGAAAGTGCCTTTTGGAGATAACGCCGTCGCCATAGCCGTACTCAGATTGTTTATCTGCCACGCGGCAAGTAAACTTTCGGGTTTCATTATGCAAGAAGTAATGAAATAAAAAGGTTTAGTGCTAGTAGTTGTTATTTATTTTTTTCAAGATCGCCTTCGTGCTCAATTCGAATTGTCGGTGCGCCTTCTTGTTTCCTCACGTATGAACAACCTTCATTGTGCCAAATAAACTTGTAGCTGAGGTACTTTGCCTTTGTTCTAACATCATAGAACAAATGCCTGTTCGGCGCCATCAAAAAAAAAAAAAAAAAAAAAATATATATATATATTTTTTTTTTGACGAAGACCAAGGGCCGTCGACCATTGTTTTATATCCGTACTTTAAAACATAGAGCGCGCCTCGGCCCGCGCTCCCTGTTCAAGCGCACGCGGGCCTCGTCCTCCTCGGCCATCATGCTGAAAGACGATGAAGGGGACATCGCCAAGTATACACGTCACAATATCTATGTAAACTGTATTTTTAAAGCTTTACAGGTCTGTTTAAAGAAGGCCTTGAAAGTTTGAAAGTTACACTTATGCGGTTTGTGCAGGAGAGTTATACGGCCAGGGGGACCTTATGTGGGTGGCTAATCTTTGTGATAAGTCGGATAATTTATTAAAATTCGTTAATTATAACCTTTTACCAATTGAAAATGAGCGTGTTGGTTAATAGATACGAAAACTTGAAAGTATAAAAGAGCAAGGACGAGGACGGGAACAGGACATCTTTGATGTCCTGTTCCCGTCTTCGTCCTCGCTGTTTTATACTTTCAAGTTTTTGTATAACCTTTTAATTAGTGAAAATAGACATATACCGGCGATTGAAGCCTTCTCGGCCTTCGCGTTCTTAGCTGAGGTAATCTCTGGAAATTCTTCACGTTCTTCGAAAAAAATGACTCATCGGGTGCGGAGTAGGGGACCGTTCAGACACTTCGGTTCCTTTGCCTGGGTACTGTGGAAAAGACAAGCTCTTCAAAACGTAGTCTAAACCGGATTCCGTCTGAATGCCGTGAAGCATGTTGTATTATTAGGAATCTTAAAAAAAACAAAAAAAACCTTGTTCGGATTATGCGGCACTGTGCGGGTAGTACAATTTGTTGTTCGATTGATGAGATTTGTTGAAGTTTTTGTTGTGAGCGGGGGATAGTCATGTTTTTCGGCTATCTTCTGTGATCAAATATTTTCAGCGGTTACCTCTGTAGATTGTCACGGCTGAGTGCTTGGAGGCGAGAAAAAACTGCGTAAAATGAAACAGATATTCTAGGTATTTTCGTTCTGCCACACACGGACTCACCAAAGATAGCTGTATTTTTGTTTGTATTTGTTCCCAGAGATGGTACAATTCTTTCTCAAAAGCCCCAAGAAATTTTTTTCGCTATAAAACACACAAGAAACAATAAAATGCAGCACGTTATCCGCCACCAGTGTAAGAAATTTCGCATACCCAGAGTGTCACATCCCACTGACGAGGAAACCCACAGCTCAACGCAGTCGGGTAACACTGACGTACACTCAAAAACAGGGACGCACGCTGTAATTTGCCCAGTTCGAGACTGCTGCTGGAAAGGTCTTTATATAAAAACAACATTTCTCCAATGAGGAACTAAGAAAACATCAGAATGAAGGGATCAGGTGCGGGAACCGAAAGGTTAAATGGTCAGCTTTATTTCCACACTAAGGTATGTTTCCTTCTTTTTATTTTTCTTGAATCACCGCAAGTAATGCTTTAAAATGGGCCCGTTTTACCGCTCCAGATATCGGCCAAACTACCCACTGTCGGAATCCGACATCTTAGAGTTTATCCTCTTGAGAAACTCCGAACGCATTTGCTCGTTTTTGCAGGGATACTCACTGGCTGCTGGCATTCTGTAGACACTCTTTGTACGGTGTCACTGAACCATCGCGTTGCATACTTTCAAAGTCATTTTTTTCTTGTTGTTTTATTAGGCAGCGCTCCGTAAATTTAATAGTATTGACTTTTCTAATTTTTTGTGTGTGTCTGTGTGTGCGGCCGGTGGGGGGGGGGGGGGGGGTTTGTTTTCTAGATCGTGTTGGACTGCCACAGCGGCGGTGACAGTAAGACAAGTGTATCGCCATGAAAGGCAACCGTCCTGGTGGAGACGGTATAGCTGCCGAGGCTTGTCACTCCGTCAGGTGCCACAGGTGACCCGTGACCGGGGACGTGCAGAAATCAGGGGTCTTCGGATCATTTTTGTCGACGAGACGCACCTTTATTCCTTCCCCTGCAAATGGTGGGAAATAAATCAGCATCAAAAAAAGCCTCTAAATTACGCTAAAGCGGCATAGCTTTAGTTCTTTCTTGATCAAAGGGAGGTTTTTAGATTCTACGGCGCGTGGTCTTAAAGGGACACTGAAACAAAATTCGAGCGCCGATTTTATCGCCTCTCAGCCACCTCCTGTCCACACCACGGAGACATCAATTTGTTGCCAAAAAAGACATCAAAGCGGTTATAACGTATAAACCGAATATCGCGACGTCATTATGCACTAGAGTAACTGCGTGCTCCTTTCCAAAACCCGCTCCTAAGCCGCCGCCATGTTGCCGATGCTAATGTGGCTGGTGCGATTCTCGCGCCCTCTATCAGCTAGAAAGTTTCTGCCACTCTCTTGGACTGTGGAAGAAGAAAACAAGAAAACAGAGTCCGCAGGACATCGGCTCCTGCTTTAATTCCAGCTTATTCAGTGCTAATTAATCAATATTGTTCTAAAACTGGTACCCAAGTGCGGGCGAAGGTGTGGGTTATCGGCGGACACCCAAATTTTCCTAAGTGGTACGTGACATTTCCAAGGTACGTGGACTTTGTTCTCGGGGCGGCGGGAATCCCCGCTAAGCCTACCGTAGGCCTAGCACAAGTACGGCCGTTGGCGGCGACCCACCGGCCGCTAGCCCTAACCCGGCGGTGATCATGTTCGAGATGATGGACGAGACAACGACGGCCACGTCAACAGGAGAGGCTGTAGCTCCATCGCTACGAGTCGGCAACGTCGACGGGCGCACGTTCATCGAGGTGCCCCGGGTGCGTATCGAACCGGAAGAGGTCGAGGGATGGAAGGTCTCCGGCTAGCGAATCAAGGAGATCACGAACGGCACGAAAAGCGGTGAGTTCGCTGCAACCAACCGGTCGTCCAGGCCCAGAACTAGGGCCAAATACGCCAAGAAAGTCGCATCGGCAATCCCGAAAGGGGCACGGATGCCAGTAAGCATGCCGAAGGAGGATATCAAGATAGTGGTCAGGCCACGTGGCGGCCTCAATATAGCGAAGATGGGAGGCCCGGCTGCCATGGCGGCGGTCACAAGGGCGGCGAGGGTCACAAGGGAGGAGGCTGGCGAGGATACCGTCGGTATAAATACGCAGCAGAACATTATAGTGATTAGCACCCCAGACAAGCGGCGAGCTACGAGATACGCTAAAATGACGTCCATTAGCGAGGGAGGCAAGACGTATGATGTCAGCGCCTATAAAACGGCACCTGACGGAACACTCAAGGGAGTCATTCGAGGCATAAACATAGAAGAGACGGCGGAGGATATCACGGAAAACATAGTGAATACGAACAACCCCACGGCAGTGGAGGCGCATAGAATCGGAGAGATGACCGCGGTCGTAGTGCTCTTCGCGGGGCAGAAGGTACCGCATTACATCAAGTACGGCATAGTTTTGATCAAGTGTGGATTATATCGCAAGCATTTCGATGTTTGCAAGACGTGCGGTAAACTGGGACATAGACGAGACGTGTGCCCGAATCCCGGAAACAAGTCCTGCTTCGGCTGCGGCATGGCGAACCCGGAGGAAGGGCACGAGCTGAAATGTCAACCGCAATGCAGCTATGCGGGGGCCCACATCCAACAGGGGAGAGGGGCTGTAAAAACAAATATAAGATGCCATACATAGTTAAGCGACGCCAATGGGAGCGTAAAGCGGAGGCCGCGGAGCAGCAAGTGGTAGACGCAGACTTTCCACCGTTTAGGTCGCGCTCCATCGAGAATCCGCGCAGCGTATCAAGACGACGAGCCGACAGTCGGAGAAGGGAAGCCAGTAAGGAAGGCAGAAGCATCAGTCGCCGCCGCGACATAGCGCGGCCGAGGGAGGGAACTTCCTGGGCAGACGCTGTCAAGACAACTAGGTCCGAGAGCAAGCAACCCAGTGTGAATAGTTATTACGAGAAGAAGAGGAAGGAGGACCTGGCAGCGATGAAATCCCTCAAGGACGAAAACGACAAGCTCAAGCGCAGAATCTTGGAGCAGGATGATATAATCAAGGAAATCAATGCGAAGCTGGCAATCCTGATTGGGGAGCGACAGCAACAGGCACCACAACCAGTACCAGAAAAGACGACGGAGACCATAGTCGAGGACGAATCAGAGACCGAAGTGGACCCCAGAGCCGATTGGCCAACGGAACCAGCCCCCAAGAGGAGGGCCATAGAAAGCATCAGGGATCGAAAGATCATGGATAAGCTCAAGAGACACGATGAAAGATTGGACAGAATGGAGGAAATCTGCAAGGAGACTAGCGAGCGCCTCACATCGCTCGAGAAGAACATGCAGAGTAGGTTGGCGCAACTACAGGTACAGCTACAAGCGCAAATACAAGCGCAGATACAGAGCATGGAAATCGGCATCATTACCAAACTCCAACAATCATGGACGGGACAGGGCGTGCAGCAACAACCACTCCGCCAGTAAAAGGCCTCGTAGTCTGGCACTGAAATGTAACGGTTTTGCACACAAGAAAGCGGTACTACAACAGCACTTGCAGAGAGTAGATAGGAAACCAGATGTGATCATGGTACAGGAATCTAATGCCGCGGAGACACCCAAGCTCGCGGGATACCGATCGCACAACAGGCCTCCGGATACCTGCGAAACGCCCAAGGGGAAGGGTAGGGGAGTCTGTATCTTCGTAAGAAAGGGTATCACATTCGTAGAGCACAAAATACTAGAAAAGAGCACCATAGAACACTGCACGGTGGAGGTTATCACGGGAAGGAGGAGGAAAGAGAGCACCTTCTTAGTTAAAGTGTACAGCAAGCCAACTCACACGCAACAGAAATTCAAAGCACTGTTTCATAAAGCATGTAGGGTAGCGGGAGGAAACATGCTGATGGTATGCGGCGACTTTAACGCCGCGAACCAAGTGTGGGGGTACCGCAAGACAACGGCCAAGGGAAGAGACTTATTGCGGGACGCGCTGGACGCAGGGTTGAGTCTCGTCACAGATCCCGAACAACCCACTCGAACGGGAACATCGGTTTCCCGGGACACCACCCCGGACCTCACCTTCGTCAAAGTGGCGGGGAGGTAGAGAAAGGTCACTTGGAACAACACGGGGCTATGACCTAGGAAGTGATCACTACATAATAGAAGTCCTCATCCCGCTGGAGGGGAAAGGTGGTAACACTGAGAAGAGAAAGCACCGGCTCACGGATTGGGATGCCTTCAGGACGACACTCACTAGCTGGCAATCAGAAATCACGGATATCGATCAATGGACGGATAACGTTAATAGGACGATGGAGGGAGCCACGAAGGAGATAGAAACAGACGAGAGTATAGACAGAGTGGACAGCAGATTAGCTCACCTACTGGAAGCTAAGCAGTCAATCAAAGCAAGATGGAAGGGTCAGCGCACAAACAGAAAACTACGGTAGAACATCGCGGAACTCAATCAGCGTATACAAGGCCATTGCAGGTTACTGTGCGAGCAGCAGTGGACCGAGGTATGCAACGAGGCGGACGGTCAAATGAACAAGAGCAGGACCTGGAGCATGCTCAGACATCTCCTCGACGAGACCAAGACTAAGGGGTATCAGCACGAAAACCTTGCGAGGATCGTACACAAGGCCATTAGCAGTCGAGATCAAGAGGCGTCCGGACGAGAAGTATCTACCGTCCATGCCTACAACAGAATACCTGAAGTACCAGGGTACCGACAACGCGACCTTGGACAAGGACATTGCAACGTAGGAAGTCAGAGCAGCCATGCAAAAACTCAACATCAGATCGGCAGCCGGTCCTGACTGAGTTACTAACAAGGCGATCAAGAACCTCAGCGAGGCGGCTATCGAGAATATCACGAAGTACTACAACAAGTGTTGGCGAGAAGGGAAACTACCAAAGCAGTGGAAGACGGCCAAAACGATCCTCATCCCCAAGCCGGGCAAGCAACCCAGTGTAGAGAACCTCAGGCCGATCTCACTTACGTCGTGCGTCGGGAAACTTCTCGAGCACGTACTGCTGGACAGATGGCAACGATATCTGGAGGAGTCGGGCCTCTACCCGGACTCCATCATCGGGTTCCGGAATAAGCTGGGGACACAAGACGCAATGATTCTCCTGAAGAATGAAATCATAGACGTACCACTTAGCATAGGTGACAACAGGGCCATCCTGGGGCTGGACCTACAGAGCGCCTTCAATAAGGTGAGCCACTCTGCCATCCTTGCCCAGGTCTCAAAACTTAACATGGGTAGGCAATCCTACGATTATATCAGGGACTTTCTAACTGGACGAACCACTAGAATCTGTGCGGGGGACTTACAACTAGACGAGAAAGATTTAGGCAGCGTCGGAACTCCACAGGGGTCGGTGGTCTCCCCACTGCTCTTCAATCTTGTCATGATAGGGGTGGCTAACCGATTACAGGAAGTTAGGGACGTCAGACACACCATTTATGCTGACGATATCACATTATGGGTCAAAGGAGGCAGCGATGGTCACATAGAAAACCAATTGCAGGAAGCGGTCGAGGCCATAGAGGAATACCTAGAAGGGTCCGGGCTCGTGTGCTCCCCGACAAAATTAGAACTGCTAGTGTTATCACCTAAAAGGGCAGGCAGGAGAAGAAAGGACGCGCCGATCACGGTGGAGAGACCTAAGATCACGGTCAAGACGGCGGGCGGGCGGATAATCCCGGGCGTAGACAAGATCAGGGTGCTCGGTTTGCTACTCGAGCGGAACAGAGTAAATGGAGAAACAATCACTAAGCTCAACACCAAGGTCATGTCTGCTACGAAGCTCTTACGGAGGATCTCCAATAGGAAAGATGGCATGAAGGAAGAAAGTTTAATCACGTTAGTGCAGTCCTTTGCGATCAGCCACATTGCGTACGTGGCTGCCTTCCACAAATGGACTCCAGGGGAACGAAACAAGATAGACGCCCTCATCCGCAAGGTATACAAGATTGCACTGGGACTCCCAGGCAACGTGAGCACACAGAAGCTCATGGAGCTGGGGGTAAACAACACTCTGGAGGAGATTGCAGAAGCTCAACGATCGGCGCACCTGGAGCGCCTCTCCGGCACAAAGACGGGGAGGAAGATCCTACAGGACCTTGGCATAAATCCTAATGGCAGCGGCTCGGCGGCTTCCGAACCCGTTCCGAGCAGCTTAATGAGCGGAACCAGAGTATGTCCAATACCGCGGAACATGAACCCCACGCACAACGCAGAAAGAAGAGCAGCGAGGGCGGGAGCTCTCGTGGATAGGCACGCGGAAGACGAGGGAGCCGTCTACGTAGATGCGGCTGAATATCAAGACCGCGTCGAGGCGTACACAGCAGTAGTGGTGAGCGCCTCGACGGGAGCAGTCAAAACGGCGGCCAGCACCCGCACCAGGGACACGCATCAAGCAGAGGAGGTGGCCATTGCCTTGGCCATCGCCAACCCCGGCTGCAAGACGATGCTAAGTGACTCAAGGACGGCGGTGTTGAATTACGCTAAGGGCAGAGTATGCAGTGCGGCAGCCCGCATTTTGCGGGCAGCCGAAGAAGCAGGGCGACAAGGGGCGGTGGTGATCATGTGGTTCCCAGCCCACATGGGCAGTGATGTGTCGGGGCGGGGCAACACCAACCACAACGAGACGGCCAACGCCGTGGCGCGAGGACTCACCAACCGCGCGACGGCAAACGTGGCCCTCTCGGAGGGCGGTGCGTGGTATAGTTCAAAGGACCGGTGACTACGTACAACGAGATTGTGAAGTGGTATAGGTTAAATAGAAGAACTATGCCTCCCCCTCACTCTGGACTCAAGCGGGGGGAGGCTGTGATCTTTAGGCAACTACAAACAGGGTCCTTACTAACACCAGTGTTAGCTAAGTACGTATACCCGGGACTTTACGCGGACGATACGTGTAGACTGTGCATGAAGGCTAGGGCCACCGCGGTGCACGTACTCTGGGACTATGAGAAAAACCCGAGAGAGGCAACCGAGAAGACAACGATTCCCCCTCAGTTCGAGGCTGCGGCGAGGAGCTGTGACTTTAGAGACTCAACGTAGGGCCGTCCAGCAGATCTCGGCCGCCCTGGAGAGGCAACGGGCAGATGATAGCAGGGGAGGTAAGGGAACACCCGGAAAACCGGGCGGCTCTCCCTCCCGATCCCGGTTAGCTAAGAGGAATGATCGGGGCCGGGGAGTAGAAGGCGCGAGATAGACGTGGGGGCCGCGTCGCGTTCTGGTCACCACCCCCTGCGCGGGGCAAGGTACCACCGATTGCTGGCATTCAAATAAAGTTTTTCCTCCTCCTCCACCTCTCTTGGACTGCAGGAACACGCTCAGCGCGATTCTCTACGAATGGTATGCCGTTGTGCATTCGACGTTTTCTGGCCTCTCTTGAAAGTTACCACTTAATTTTTCTGATGCATGCTGCGTACCCTTTCTGTGTTATCTTCCACTGTGAGAAATAGGGCTGCTAGTGCCTGCCGTTTAAGCGTTTCTTCTCGGCATTCACGGCAAACGAAGGAGAAGAAGGACGTTGAACGGCCCACGGCGCGATTTTGGGAACAATGACGAGTGTTCTCCCCGCTCCAAGAGGTAATCCGCGAAGAGTCCTCAGTCAACTCCAAAGATAGTTGTTCGGGACGGGTTAGGCCACGGGTCAGTCGCGTTCGTCCCTTTGCCTTGGTGCTGGTGTGATGGAAGGAAGCTCTCCCCAAAACGTGCCCCAAAACGAAGTCATCTTGGATTCCGTCCGATCGTCAAGATGTGACTGTATTATTTAAGATCTTTCTCAAATAAATTAATTTCAGATAACGTCGTATCGCGTAGAACAAACAATATATTGTTTGCATGTACGTGTCCTGCCCATCGGTAAACACGTTATTTGTGAGCGTGAAAAATGCATGCCTTCCGGCTATCATCTATTGTAAATTTTTTTCGACAGCTAAGCGCTTTGTCATTTGGCACGCTGCCGAATGAACGGCGCCGTCAAAACGTATCGCTAAAAAAACAAAAAATAAAACACGAGAACAAACATTCCAGTCGCATTCGTTCTGTCGAGCGCGTACCCCCAAAAATAGATTACAGCATTTTTTTTTGCTTTTTTTTTGTTTAAATTACATGGCTATCTTAATGTCCTCGGGAAAATACATAAACCATGAAACACAAAGCACAGCGGGAAAAGACGAGAATCTGTCGGCCAGCAGTCTTTGAAACAGCGCCTACGCAGGCTGCGCCTATCGAAATCGCAGTACACTTTGTTAGGATTAGCAGTGATGCTAGTTGAGTCTAGCCTCAAACCCAGTGACTGGGCTCGAAAACGGTTTGTTGCCCCTGGGGTCGAGTGTCTTTTGAAAAGGTGTATGTACTCCGCTTGCGGGTCAGAGTACCGCAATGGTCCTCCCAGGGCGGCCATGCTAGACCCAAGGCCGCACTGCGGGAAGAAACCGTCATGTGTCACACATGACGTCACAGGTGACGTTATGTGTGACGTCATTGTGGGAAACATCCCAGAATGCAGCGTGCGTTACGCCGACGCCGACGACGCCGAACCCGACAGCTGATTACGAGGGTTGCCATCATGCTCGAGCCGGTAGTTGAGGTTTTCCCGTACACTCCCGAAACGAGACTTTGAGATAATTTATCTAAAGTCTACACGAGGCGCACAAAAATGACACGTAGTAATTTAGAAACACTTCCTTCACTAAAAACAGTTATACCCCTAAATTCAATCAAATATCCCGGAGTTTCCCCATACTATAACCATTTGGTCATGACCCTCGAGACTAGAGAGTAATGTTTGTTGTTATATACAACACGCAACTAATTTTCAAGAACCAACAAAAATATTTCATTGACTTTACCGCTTCCTAAATAAAAGCACACACCTTAGAATTTCATCTGACGAGTCAAAATATGACGTAATTTTTTCGCGCTAGTAGAATATTTTTATACAACAGACTTTCATTATTTAAAGTGTTTGAAACGCCCTATTGCCATTCAGTTCAATAAATATTTCCGGGTGCGTTAATTAAAAATATATTTTCGTAAATGCACTTACCAAATAGCTTCCGAATGACTGCCTCCGGCAAACTCCTGCAAAAAACTGATACAAAAGGTCAACCACAGGTGAGGGAGGTGACGGCGCCAGGCAGGGCTTATGTAACGTGACATAATCTTTACGAGTCAATAAAATAAAAGAGAAATGCATGAACTCTTTGAGGCACAAAAATTTGGATTAGCATAAAACTACGATGTAGAGTCAAAAGGTAACCTCAGTTTATTTTTTATTTCCGTGGTAGTATTTATATCATGAAAAGCCTTTTATTACTTTTCAACATAGTTACCTCCTCGCTCGACACACGAGCGCCAACTCTTCACCAACGCATAGAATATTGTGGCTGGCTCTGGACTCAGGATTGCACCGCCGCTTTTAGGTCATCATCGGTATCAAACGTCTTTCCTCCGAGAGCCTTTTTGAGGGGCCCGAATTGCTAAACATCACTCGGTGTGAGGTCTGTCGAGTATTGTGGGTGCGGAATACACTTAAACCGTAGTCCTTTGATTTTTTCCTGCTGGTGTACGTGCCGTGTGAGGGCGCGCATTGTTATGCTGCAGCAACACCCCTGAGCTGAGCAATCCGCGACGCTTTGACCTGATTGCAGGATTCAAGTGGTTCTCAAGCAGGTTGCAGTATGATTCACTGTTCGAGGTGAATCCCTTGGGCATGTAATGTTTAACTATTGGGCCCTTATTGTTCGAAAAGAGCGTGAGCATTAGCTTGCCCACCATTGGCGCTGTTTCGAACTTCTTCGGCCTTGGTGACATTGCGTGTCGCCACTGCTTGCTTCCTTGCCTTGTTTCTGGTTGGTCGTAGTATACCCAGTAAATCATCACTGGTGTCAATGCGTCCAAGTAATTAATCTTCCTCGGCTTCGTAGCGTTACAGTAGCGTCTCTTAAGCATCCACACGCCGTCCCTTAAGGTCCGGCGTAAGTTGTTTTGGAACCCACCTGGCGGATACTTTGTGATACTGCAGAATGTCACAAATGATATGGTGCGTCGAGCCGTGACTAAGATTCGATTCTTCAGCCACTTCGTTGATGGTGACACGCCCGTGTATGAGCCGTTCCACACCAGAAGTTGCGTCCGGCGTCGTTGAAGCGTGAGCCCGGCTGGAGCGAGGTGCGCCTGTCAAACTGGGCGCTCCACTTTGAAACTTTTCATGCCACTCGTACACCTGCCGCAGCGATACACAGGCGTCTCCGTATTGCTTCAGTATCCTACGATAAATATCCGCAGGTTTTTCGCTCTCTGCACCCAAAAATCGGATAAGCGAACGTTGCTCCTCCCTGGTGCATGCTAGCGAGGGGGTGGCCATTTTGAAAGTGCTGTGGTCACGGCTAAACTTCGGTTTTGATTTTGATCTTTTCACGGCTAGGCTAAATTGCGGTCACATTCTGACTCTGCCTCGTCTATCTGATCCAAAAAGCTGCAAAAAAACAAACAAAAAAAAAAACACTATTTTCGCAAACGAAAAAAAAAAAAAAAGAAATCTGATGTGGGTCACAACCTATTATCTTGGCCAGCCCAGGCAAGCACAATGCTAGTAAAGCTTCTGAATATTTTTTTTATGAAAGTTCGCGAAGCAGGGGACTTGGCAAGTTTCTAACATTCATGTTGTCCCTGAGGGATGTGTTTTAGTGCTGCCCTCCGCACACCTATTTATGACGTGCTCTTTCTTGGCTGATATTTTAACACAGTGACACGTGCAGTTTGGGCCACTTGACTTCTTTCAATGCACCGTGCGCTGAGAAGATTTGCGCTTTGACTTCGCGCCAATATGTGGTTGTTGGCGTGAACTTCCACTTCTTTCCCTTCCCCCGTAAACCTGGCAACACGCAAAATGCTTGTTTCGAAGGCAGCAAGGTTGTGTTTGGCAAAACGTGGGGTGTATCGAATATCGATTTAACGAACGCGGGAACGCTTCAATAAATTGACCCTTTGTCTAAACGTTGCAGGTCAACGAAGCTATCTGTTTATGGAACGTCGTTCGACGAAATGATTGCCTTAAGGTCATTCATGCGTTTTGGTTACTTCTGACGACCACCAAACAAAACTAACGTGTTAAGTGCTATGATGAAGTGCTCCAATTATTTTATTGCACGGCATGTTTTTTTGCACGCATGCAACAGGCATTCGGCAAATAAAAGTATTGACAAGTAAACTGCCCATCTGTGATTCTTTTCTTTTTAGGGGGGGGGGGGGGGGGGGTTGGGGGAGATTTATTGTGGTAGGCGCCATGGCTCCCACAACGTCAGGAAAAAAAATGTTTACATAACCGCGGCTAGCTAACGATGTAGCCCCATCTGGAGTCAGGACGAGAAGTTCAAGGAAATGCGGCGCAGGTAGTTGTTATGCAAAACTACCGTGCATCAAGAGCATTATATATTCAAATGGTGTTTAGTGAGGCTCACCACTGTGCTTGAAGCGTTAAGGCGCCTCTGAGAAGTACCAAACGTTTCTTCGGTTGAAGCGAAATGTAAGTATTATAACAAAGTTTCAATAGTGGTAAAGAAGCGAAAAGGAAAAAACGATTGAGTGTTTTAAAAATACCGCAGATACAAAAAATTTCAAGACACCCGTTCATGGGTTTTATGAATTCAGTTTGCCTTGAGAAAACCGGGCTACGGGCCGTTCGTCGAAAGACAATTTGTAACAGGGCAATTCGTAGCAGGGCAATTGGTCGCGTGGGGCAATTCGTTATAGGGCTATTCGTCACAGGGGCATCTAGTCGAAAACTGTTTTTTTTTTTCTTAGTTTATGTTTGTTAGGAAAATTTAGAACAAACTTTTCAACCATTACAGCTCACCGGAGTTTGGGAAGGGGAGGGGAGGGAGGGGGAATGTAACGTGTATGTATAAAATATAAAGTTCAAAAGCCTTCCCAGAAAAGTTCGAACACCGCCTTGTTGTCCACGTTCTTTTGGAGTTTCGGAAAGGTGGGAGGCTTTTCTTCTAAACATGCATGCTGTGTTGTATCCTGTTTGGATACTTCACGGTCCTTTGTCCGGTTTCTGTTCGCAACTCCAGCCCACCGCTCGCCGCCCTCTGGCGGACGACCGGAGAGACAGTGGAACGGGAACGGAAGCGGCAGCGGTGGTGCAGAAACGGTGGCAGGGACTGTCGGCCTTGATGCGTGAAGCCATTTGAACGAAGAAAATTGAGCGCATTAAAATAGGAATTCTTGTACTCCGCCTCGCAACAGCCTTGGACGAAGAACTCGGAGGTGTAATTTCATTAGGGACTTTTCACATATTGCATACTCTGCGAATTTCTGGTCATGTGCATGACCGCCAGCTCAATCTGTGCTCAACGTGACGGCAAACGCTCCCGGTACTAATGCGGAGCTCTAGCGTACGGTCTACGAAAAGTCTATTCTGAGCCCTGGGTAGGAGAAAAGTGGTCACGCAACAGGTTTGTCGAGCAATACACATTGGGAATGGGTCGTTACAAGGAACATGACCATTTATACCAAGAACGTTTAAGAGATAGCATACGCGTACTTGCTTTCAGGTAATTGCAAAGTAAATAAAGAAATACTCGAAGCAGTTTAAGCGCGTCTGTGTTAGCCAGCCTCTTAAGCTGACAGTGCACGGGAGGCTGCGTGGTCGCCGGGCCAATCTGATCGCTTAATACCAACAGTTTGAGTGATTCAGAAAGCGATGCAAATAAAACTTTTCGTGAACTGACAGCAATATGGAAAACATATTTAGAACTCGGCTGTGGCGTACACTCACGGAAGTATACAGCGTCGACTGCGAAAATGGAGCATTTAAGCCAAATCTTAAACATTCTGCTATAAAGCAAAGTACCAAATGAGGGAGAACCTTCATTCGTAATTAATAATTTTGAAGCAATATATACTTCATAAACTGTAAAAATTAAACACATAAGAAGCTTTTAATAGGGTGACGATTCGTCATCTGGACCGATTGCCCCATTACGAATTGCCCTATGCGACGAATTGCCCTGCTACGACTTGCCCTGCTACGAATTGTCTTTCGACGAATAGTCCTACAGCCGAGAAAACCATTGCAGACATTCAGCACATATTATATTGATTGTACAGATTATATTGACAACGACCGACTACTTAATTATTATTAATTGATAATAATAATAGAAAAGAATAATAATAATAATAATAAAGAGAAACTGCCGGAGTCGACAACAACGTTCTTCTTATTGATGACATTTTAATTCTATCTATTGATGAAATTTGAATTCTACCTAGTTTCCCTACCCTATCACTCTCGGGATGGGAAATCCAATATAAGTTGTACAAAATAAATATACCCATCACGATAAAAGGAGCAGACACGTTAGGGTGCCCCAGAAACCAACAGCACGCTGACACAAGTCAGCCAGCGTATATTAGTGCATTTTACGAATTCACCCTCCCTGTCCCGAAAAAAAAGGTAAAAAAAAAAAACCCAAAAAACTTTGACTTTTACCTCTTGATATTTGACCATCATAAACTACGGACCACAAACCGTAGGAAAAGTTCGGTGCCAGCAGCGACTTCATCACGGCCACATATCTGCGTTATAAGGTCAAAACATTTATTAAAAAATCGTAAACGTTGCGATCATGGAAATAATATATTACTATCAACACATACTACAGCGCACACTGCAAAAGTACTCACACCGTACACTCACTCCTTACACACGAAAAAGAAAGATGAAATTCAAACGAACTGCTCTGACTGACAACTCGTTTTTTATATACTTTGTCTTCTTCTACGTCTGGAACTACTGAATTTTCCGAATCACGCGCACCAATCTCCTAGACTACAGTGTTCTCCTAGACGCCAAAAAAAAGTTTTCTCTTTTCCTGTCAGGTTCAAAGATGGTGTACTAATACAGGCATACACTGCCGTGATTGGGGGATCGGTGGCCGAGTGGGCTAGCGCACACCAGTGTTGTGGAATGGGCACCCCCATTCCATTCCAATTCCATTCCGGGGAATTAAGTTTGCGATAATTCCACTCCTTTCAACTCCTAGGAATGGGGAAACTGGGCCCATTCCCACTCCTGGAATGGCTGAATCGTACCATTCCATTCCTCTAATTCCTAAACGTAAAAATTGGCTCTTGACAGCTACATTGTGTTGCCGGCATAAGCACCATAAAGCTGACATTATCAAACGCATAGACAATTGCAACAAGATGCAAAATGCCTAAAAAAAGCACTGCTTTTACAAAGCGGAGCGCTGGTGGCACAAAGTGTTTGTTTACATTGTACTGCAAACATCAAGAAAGCCCCTTGATATGTCGATGCTTGTTTAAAACATCGGTCTTTCGACCATGTGGCTCGCAAAAAGCAGCGAAACCTAAATCCACTAATTTTTTTGGCAAACTTTTTTTGCATTTGTCTTCTAGGACATACGCGGTCAGGGTGTTTGTTTGATAAGACCATAAAAATATCCAGTTCGTGCGTGGCGCAGAAATAAGCTATATTAAATACTTTATTCTTCAAATACCTGCACAGCAATACGGCTAGTACGCTGCTGGAAGCGACTCCATGCACAGTGGCAGGAACAGATCCTCTGACCAAGTGCAACCTCTACGGCGCAGCACGAGACACCATGTCACGAAACAGTCTTTCTGCAAGATCTAGTCAGTTCGGTCACTTGACTAGAGCGGTGACGACAATCTACTTCACCTTACGATGGACCGCAACAGACAGCACGAGAGCCATCGAAACCAATCCAGTGCCTTCTGAGCGTCGCGTGACCCTGGGGCGCAGCAACGCGCCGTGCGTGCAGTCCCCCTCACGGTGCTGGATTGCCTGGGGCGACTCGTAGCATCCGCAGCGGTCCATCACAAGGTGAAACAAAGTAGGCAGAGTCTAAAGTCGAAGGAAATGAGCGGGAATCCGCTAGCTTGCCTGTAACCCTAACCCACTTGAATGTAAAACATATAACACAGAAAACAAGCATCGGAACAAAGACCAAGTAAAGGGCGAACTTACACGTAAACATGCAGAATAATAAAACAAGTCTCGGAGCAAAGCGCAAGAGGAGAAGAGAGAAGTGAATCTTGCTTTGTTTTATTGCCGAAGCAAACCCACAGTTTGCACTTCAAAGGAGTGCGCGCGAATGAACGTGGAAGGCAGCAGGTTTGGCCGCCTGCTAAACAACGCTCCTCGAACTATACGAAAACAATAACAGATCACTTTTCGGCGGCGCGGGAGTCAACGAGTTATCAGAGCTCTGCAAGTTATGAGTCGTCCCCGCTCTCAGATCTCAGTCTGTGCGAGCGTGTATTCTCCATGCCTTCGTTCTTTTGCTTGGTTTCTTGTTTCGCTCGCTCTCGTGTAACGCCAGTAAAGCCCGTCGCCTGCGCGAAAGGCGCCACCGCCATCCCTTCCTCCCTCGTCTGCACTTTGCTTTGGCGCGTCTTTTTTGTATTGCATTTTTTGCGTATAAGTCTGTTAGAGCTCCACGCGGGTTAGCTGTGTCCCGCCCGCTCATTTTATTTCTGAGCAACTGGCTCGCTGACTAACTCAAAATCGCTGACCGTAAACAAAAAAAAAAAAAAAAAGAAAAAAAAAAAAAAGAAGAACCGGACCCATTCCATTTCCATTCCATTCCGGGCAAAAGGCATCTAATTCCATTCCCATTCCATTCCCCTCAACGCTGCCGCCATTCCATTCCCATTCCATTCCGGGGTCGCGAAAATTCGGAATGATTCCGGAATCATTCCAACTCCGGAGTGGCAACTCCGCAACACTGGCGCACACCAGCTCGGAGCACGTGGAGCGAAAGCTCGCGCTGCGGAACCCAGGGATCCTGGGTTCAATCCCCACCCCTGCCCGTTTCGATCTGGATGAGCATCGTACCGGCGTGCGGTCGTGTATCACTACTGCGTGGTGCACGTTAAAGACCCCAGGCTAGCGGTTGTACCGCACTGGCTAAATTGCTTATCTACAGTGGGTAACAATGTCGCCATGTTCTGGCAGACTAAACTCCTGCTGTATAAACAACTAACGACGAATTTTTGCCGTGATTGTAGGTGCGAGGTTCACCCCCTTTGTTGTACAACTTCAGGTAGGCAAAGTAATCAATTAACTAGAGAAATTATTGAACCCGAACATATCGTCAGGAATCATAGAAACTGTATTTGTACACCATCTTTCAACATGACAGAAAAATAAGAAAAATTTCTTGGCGTCTAGGAGATTGGTGCGCGTGATTCGGGAAATTCGGTAGCTCCAGACGTAGAAGAAGACAAAGTATATAAAAACGAGTTGTCAGTCAGAATGGTTCGTTTGAATTTTTCCTTTCTGTTTCCTGTGTAAAGAGTGAGTGTACGGTGTGACCACTCATTCACACTGGAAGCGGATCCGCGTTCGCAAAGCGGTTGCGAACGCGGTTGTATAAAGATCCAGTACAATTGCACGCGCACTTGATGACATCGAGTGCGAGCGCAATTGTACTGGATCTTTATACAACAGCATTCGCAACCGCTTTGCGAACGCGGATCCGCTTCCAGTGTGAATGAGCGGTAAATGTACTTTTGCAGTATGCGCTGTAGTGTGTGTTCATATGAGCAACCAACTCGCCCAAGCTGCTACGCTAACAAGATGCTAGGGAGTTTTCGTAGACCGCGCTGCCCCCCTCCGCTAAGCGTTCCGCGACGAAGAAGTTGCTACTGCGCCTGCGCGCCGATAGCCTTGACTGCGGAGTTCCCGCTATCGTAGCGGGTTGCGGAGGGCCTTGCGGGATGGCGAAAACGATCTACGAAAACTCCCTATTAATATTACTTTTCACCGGAGCGTAAGCGTTAGACCTGGCAGTGCCATTTGTAGTTATGTCTCCGGTAGAGCTCGCGAAATTGCGCGTGACGATTCTCGGAATAATACGTCCCTTGCCAGAGTGCTGAGCTGTTCTTACGACCGACCAGATTCGTGGAAATGCTCCCGGCAAGGCTACACAGCAGTGTTTCCCAGGCTTTAGGTCAATACCTCAAAATCTGCGGTCCCTCTGCTTAGCGGCGCCTCACACTGCTCAAAACACCGAACAAGGGACAGTCCGCCGACGCCAGGGAGTTCTAGGGTACAGTCCTCGCACGTCCGATGTGGTACGATGGGGCCTCCGGTGCGAATTGCGCATGCGCTACAGCAGAAGACACTCGCCTGCGCAGTTCGTACCGGACGGCTTATACCGTGCCGTATAGGATGTGCAAAAATGGTTCCTTAAAACTCCCTAGTGTTTGCAGAGTGTCCATTGTCCAATGATTCAGCAAACCGTCTGAGGCGGGTTTCTACCTCATGGGACGGTCCCGCCACAGTGGTCGTATACGAAGACCGTCTACGCACATGTTCCGGGCACGACAGTCTCTGAATCGATTGCATCTATTGGAGAAGCGATTCTCGCTCTTTCAATCCACAACGAAAGGCCGGCTTGCCTGTCTCTGTCCGACTCCTTAATTGAGCTCAAGGCTCCTATGTCCCACACAATGTCCATTTCTCCTGCACACGATCTAGAAAATAATGTCAAATAGGGAAAAAGTGACAAATCAATCAATCAATCAATCAATCAATCAATCAATAAACGATGCGATATGTCTTATATCATGTCCGGCATCACCAGACACTGATGTAGGCATTAGCCTGTAAAGGCATAAAATCAAAATGTTTTTCTTGACGAGGGGCTCTGTCTCAAGAAAAGATGCCTTTTTTTAACTTAAGAAACAGCGATCAGCAAACAAAACAACAAAAACAAAAAAATAGCAGAAATAGTTTTTTTTTTTTCGAAATGTGAGTTTTCGCAGTTTTCAGGCGTATAACTTTCAGCAATCAAAACCAAAAGAAAACCGCATCGTGTAAGCACAATAAGTATGGATAGCAGAAATAAAAGAAGCATTACTCTGGCGAAATCTTGACAGTCAAAGAATTGCCTCAATATTTTTTCAACACATTAATATAAACGTGTGAACTGTTTGCCCAAAATACGAAGTCCAATAACGTGTTTTTTTTTCTCCCAACCTATGAAAATATTAAAATTGGTCTGAGACACTGAGACGCCCGACTCGAAGCACTGAAAACGTGACGACGAATGTTATAACATGAGGGTAATACGGCTTTTTCGTGACGAGATACAAGAGTTTTTACTCATTACCATGAACCAACTATAGCCCAACAACGATTTTCGCTAAAGAAGTTTGAAGCCGCGAAATGGGTGATGGGGACGCTCACGCTCACAAACCCTCTTCCCTCCCCCCTCCTCCCCTCTCTACCTCACAAAACAAAACAAAAAAAAAAAAAAAAGAAAACCGCGCAAATAAACTGTTTTGTTTAGACTGCCTGCTTTGACCTGCAAGTTAAGCACAGGGTTCCTTGTTTTCCGGGTTTATTTTCCTTCAAGTTCGGTAGTGTATTTTTCGGAGTTTATTATTTTTTTTTTTTCGGAATCGGTGTTTTTCGGTATTTCGGTGTCGTCGCGGCGCATGGCGTCGTCTGGGTACTCGTTGTATAATTGAAGTTTCACCACGGGCGGCATCGCCGTGTTGCTGGCCGAGCGGCGGACAAGCGCCTGCGTGCAACGAGGTAGGGATGTCGTCATCAAAGAGCGTTGTTCGTGGCTCGATCCTGACTGCTGTTCCACGCCTCCAGCGACTAATTCAGTGATTTTAGCAGCTACGAGCTCGGGAAACTTTAGTGTCGTCTTGGCGATTACTTCAGTTGTACGTGTCTCAGGGTTTAGATTATGACGTTTCCTATACCCAGCTCGCCTGCTCACTTTCGCCAATTGCAGTTCAGCTGGATGTCTGTTTCTACGCATCTGCTCAGTGAACGCGTCAAACCGTAGTGAAGCGGCCGTGATCAAGCCGGTTCGGCTCAGCAATGAAAGCCAAGAGATGCAGAAATATTATAAGCAAGACAAAATTGTTCGTAAGAAATATTTATCTTTATTAATATTATAAGCACTATCCGACAGCAGTGGTACGGCAGTAATGTAATTAAACTAATGCAATGCAATCACAAAAATTACGTATCTTTTGCATTAATTAGTAATGTAATTCATTACTTTTTGAGTTAGGAAATTTAGTAATTTAAGAGATAACTCTGGGGAGCTAATTTATTTAAATTTATTAATCGCTTTTTAGCTTCATGTATATTTTGTGCATCTGGAAATCTAATGGGCAACTTTCTTTTTACACACAAAAAACAATTGAGTCCGAGCGAAAAGTAAAAAAAAATACAAAATAAATAAAAGAAGCAATGCATTAGGTAACTTATAAAGGGACACATTTCGAAGACACCCAACCTTTTGAGTAGAAGTGTAAATAGCTCGAGTACGAGCGCTCGGACACACAATGATACTGTACTGAAAAAAAAAAAAAGAGGAAATTGATATAAAGAAAATCGAAGTGATTGATTTTCTTTTTTTCTGAGACCATTATGGTAAGGAGGTCCGTGGCAAGACTCTGTTGCGTCTGCTCCTTGCACGAATCTAGTGTCTTACAGAAACCAGAAACAACTGCTTTTTTTCTGCAGATGCTATTTTGTCCTAAACCCACACGTCTTCACGGTTCCAGCTAGGGATGTCGCGAACCACCCTAGGTTCGATTTCGAAAGGTTTCGATATTTCCGAAGCGAACTGAGGTTCGATTTCGAAAAATTTGATATTTTCATACCGACCGAGGTTTGATTTCGAAAAATTCGCAACTTTTGTCCACAGCGGAGTTTCGAATTCGAAAAGTTCGAAGCTTTCACGGTTTCTAAAATTTCGAATTCGAGTATTTCGAATATTTTTTTACTTCAGGTTCGATATATTCGAAGATTTCGAAATTCTTTGTAAAAAAAATTTGAAAACTTCGAACGCTTCGAATTTTTATAGACATGAAGTTCGAACAATTCGAAGATTTCGAATTTCTTTTTGCATAAAGTTCGAAAACTTTGAAGGTTTCGATTCTCTTTTAACGCTAAATTGAAAAAAAAAAAAAAAACAAAAAAACTTCGAAGATTTTGAATTTCTTTTTAATCCAAGTTTTCAAAGTTCGAAGTCCGATTTTCAAGTTTTTCCACAGTTTCAGATTCAAATAACGTTTTCACAAAATCAAGTTTAGAAAAGTTAGGGGTGTGATATCTAGATTCTGCGAAGTTGGTCAGGCAATTAAATGAGACGACGAGTGTCCCGGACGTGCTAGAATATTTGCCAGTGCAGAATTGTGACCGCCGGGCGGCGGGGGGGGGGGGGGGGGGGGGGGGGGGGCGGGGGCGGGGGGCGGGGGGCGTTTAACCTGCATCACGCAGTAGTGATTTGCACGAACACACTGTTTTACGAGACTCTTCCAGTTCGAAACGGCCAGGGGCGAGCAGGAGGTTTGAGGCTCAGAAAAAACCGTTAAGCGACCTGGCAAACTAGCTCGCCACCCCTTGCACGCTGGTAGTAATCCGATCCGGTGAAGTTTATAATTGTCCTGGAGGTTTATTTTCTGGGACGGAGGAATCGCCTCGCAAAAAGCACAAAAGCCGACACAACTCGAGGTCGAGGAGCGTTCTACCATACAAGTGGCGTCGGAAGAGGAAAAACGGGGGGAAGAGGGTAGCGGGGGGGGGGGGGGGGGGGGGGGCTTCAGCCTCCTTCTCCCCCTTGCAGGTATTTCGGACTGTTAAAGAAAACAATACGGGGAAAGAGGGCGTGGTCGAGCTTATTTTAATCTGAAATTAGTTATGCATATGTATAGCTAATGTCGCTCTTCACTGCATAAAAGGTTGCGTAGATGGTCATTGTTAGAAACTCGTTGTCAGAAGGCACTGCTCGTCACATGCTTAGTGGTTCGGAAGTTCAAAGCTGTCTTTTCGACCTAAACACCTGTGCCAATAGTAACAAAAGAAAAAAAAAAAAAAAAAAAAAGAATAAATGCGGGAATAAAAAGCAGGAGAAAAAAAAAAAAAAAACTATCAAGAATTCGTCGGAAGTGTTCTATTCTTGCATATTCAGAGGTTCAGAACTTCGAAACAAGTTTCTTTTACCAAAATGTGTACAGGCTAAAAGAAACACGTCCCAGGAACGTGAAGCGGAAAAAAAAAAGTTTTCTTTTAATGACGTGCTGAACTTGAACACTACTAGAAATCTTCTCCCATGAGTTAATTTATTCCTTAATGTGAAAAAACAATAAATATATTATTTTGTATTCTGCAGATGGCAATGATATGTACTGTCTGTGGTGTTAATTTAAATGCGATACCTCAAACAACTTAGACGAAAATAAATATCAAGTTTAGGTCATAATTGCATGCAGATACATGTTTGGACATTTCTTCGAAACTCACGTTGAATAACAATAATCACATCTTAAGACGGCACTTACCTAGGCTATACATAGATCATTCTTAAAAAAAGTATAACTTATCTACCATGAATAGCTCCGGCTGCAGCGTGCTTCAAATCTGGCACAAACGATGATCGTCAAAAACCCGTCGTCCTTCCTCGCCCCTTCGGGGATTTATTTCTTTAAACCTAAGCATGCCAGAACATTAAAATAAACGACATTGTCTTTCGTAAGGAACGCAGCACCGCGTGTAAAAGTTCGAGAAAAAAAAAATTACGAATGTACCCCACTACTTGAAATCAAATGAAACCGTCCGCCGGTCTTTCGAAGTTCGACGAACGTCGAACTTTTACCCTAAACGTTCGAAGTTCGTCGAACTTCTGACTTTTCAGAATTCGAAAGTTCGAAACTTTTCGAATTCTCTTGATAAATAAGTTCGAAAGTTCGAAATTCATCGATTTTTTGGTCAGTCAAGTTCGAAAGTTCGACAAGCATCGAACCTTGCAGCGCAATAAATTCGAAAGTTCGAAAAAGATCGAATTTTTTTGCGTAATAAGTTCGACGGTTCGAAAAGCGTCGAACTTCTTAGCTTAACAAGTTCGAAAATTCGACCTCGGTCGAATTTTACGATATAGACAATTCGAAAAATCGAAATTTTTCGAACCTTTCGAACCGCTTGATTCGATCATCGAAACTTCGATTCGAAAAAAGTTCGCGGCATCCCTAGTTCCAGCGTTTCTCGAAAAGGCGTCACGTGGAGGAACAAGCTGCTTCTCCTTTTGCAAGCACAAGTTTCGAACTAGCCAGGAATTCCGGATGCAAGGATCGACCGACATGGCGGTGAAAGGGTGCCATAATATGGAAGGGGCTTTAGCAGAGCGGGGCACTAGCCCCGAAGCAGGTTGTGCTCCCGAATACTTCGAACAGACGCCGCATTTTTGTGCAGCAGGAGTTAAACAGAACAAGTTTTCACAAGTGTGCATCTACTGCCGTCTGTTTCCTCCATTGTGATGCTATTTTTAGTCGCAAGAGAACTATTGGGCAGGTACTAAACATTTCTTTTTCGTTTTCTTTGTAAAACTATATCAGAGAAGGGGAAGCAAAGCAGGCAAACGCTTTGTATACCAGTGGCCTGTAGTTATGTGTAATTACAGAAAATAAAATAATTGGTATGAATACTCTTTTTTTCATATCACAATGGAAAAGTAACTTGCAAGTTACGTCATTACTTTATAAAAGTAACTTGGTAATTGTAATTATTTAAATTTCCACCCTGGTAGTTTGTAATGCAATTTCATTACAATCTGGTTGTTTCAGGCAAAGTAATTAGGATTGTAATTTAGTTTCAAAACAAAAGTAACTTGGCCAGCTCATCTGTCCCTTAGTTATAACATGCAGGCTTGCGAACAGGATTACTACTGTGCTATTAGAAACAAGAATAAATAAATAAACTACACTTGACCCTAAGCACTGCAGAATTTCTAATATGTTCGTTTGTATTCTAATCAGGAAACCAAGAGTTCCCGGCAAGCTGCGCCGTACATTATATCCCTTTTAATGAACCTCTGCTTCCAGAAAGGAGGTTATTTTATAGAACACGCATGGAACACTTGTAGGCCAAAAGTTGTGATAATCAGTTTTGTGCTCAAGGAGAAAAGACGTGCTGTGCACCGCAGGCGTTGCGTTACGTAACACCATGGTATGGGCATTAGTGTCAATGTACAGCACAAAAACTCAAGTTGAGGGGAGATGGGGGGGGGGGGGGGGGGGGTTCTCATAGCCAGGCAATTCAGCTCACTCTTCCCAAAAGGGGGTATTCACTGGACGTCATATTTGAGGGCGCCGTTTACAGCGCAAGCTCAGAATGAACTGACATTAGTAGGCTGATAAGACCGGCGATTGTGAGGATGGGGAATGCACGTTGTAAAAGAGAACTGTGGAACTTCAACATCAGCACGCGCTCAGCATTCGCGCACACAGCTATGGCTGCCAGTGTATATTTCCTATACGTTGGGCTCCCCCTACACACGCGCGCACACGCACACACACACACACACGCATACATACATGCACACACAATAACGCACATACACACGTACACACGTTCCGAGGAACGTAGGGCATTAGCCGTCCATACCCCCAAGTGCTTGAAAAGGGAAATCCCCCAAACCGGCCGCGGTTTTCCGAGGATTCCATTCCGAGTTCGTTGATTCGTAATCGAGGGCGCTAGAATCACGTCAGCTGTTTCAACGCGCTGCCTAAAAAAATGTATGTGTTGAGGAAAGCTACGCATTTCAGTCTCGCGTGGCGCCCTCTATAGAAGGAGTCACGCGGGACTTCACTGCAACTGCGGCCATCTATAGATGGCCGCATTTGCGGTGAAGGCGCATCATGCCACCCGAGTCTCACTGCATGCCCTACTCAGCGTATACTTTACGGAGCACAAAACGTACCTCAGTGTGCTCCGATAAGCATAAATAAAACGCACTGCAACACAAATGACAGCTCACTTTCAGCCCTTTTTTCGAACATTCGGAATGTCACGCCAAAACAAGAACAAATATGTAATCTAATCTAATCATCTGAATGTGGCGTTGTTATACTTACAGAAACGTGGCAAACGCCTGCTATCACAGACTTGGAAATTATCCCGCTCCTACCCGAGTTTCTTTTATATCGACAAGACTGCACATCAACGACAGGTGGGGGCGTCTTAATCGCGATAAAAAATTCAATCCGTCATCATAGAGTGGACGTTGACAGCCGTTTAGAAATGGTCTTGATAGCATTCATTCATTCATTTGTTTATTTATTTTTTGTGCTCATGAACAGCTTGACGCCTTGGTAATGATGCACAACAAAATGTTCACAGGTTAGTTACAAAAGTCTTAAAAGCTACGAAATTTGGGTTAAAAACATCAATATCTGCTCCCCTGAGGGTATTGTAGAAGTGTTGAATACGGGTCATGGAACTGGTTTGTATGATATGATTAAAATGGAAAGTTGGAGAAACACGCAAAACTCGACTCGGAACGGGAATAGCATCCGAAGGTCCACGTAATCTTATCGTTTTAGGTGTGGGCTCGCGCCCGCCAAAGCAGGACTCCGAATTTGCAAGACAATTTAATGACGCTTTTAGACTGCTTGCATAAAAAGTACCCAAGAGTACAATTTATAATCTGCCGTGACTTCAACTATCCAAGCATAAATTGGTCAGATGTATCTCGTGTCAGCTCTAAAGAATGGTGAATTTTTAAACTACATACAGAACTACCACCTCACTCAAATGATCACGCAAACAACAAGACAGACTGCGCATAATTCGAACATACTAGACTTAATACTCATGACAAACCCAAGCAACTTGCAATCCCTGTATTACGTTAAAGAACTAAGCGACCATAAAGTAATTCTGGCTACTTTCAAATTATTTCTTTAGAACGAGGAACCCATAACCAAGCAAATCAAAATTTATGACCGCGGAAATCACAGTCATAAACAGAGAACTTGAAAACTTCTATTTCTCATACGAGCGAAGTTTTCACCATCGCGATGTCGATGAAAAGTGGTACCTATTTCGTAACAAACTGAACGAGCTAGTAGATAAATTTATACCAACCATCACCAGTAAAAGCAAATCACCTACCCCATGATATAACAATGCAATTAGAAAAATTAACAACGAAAAAAGCGTTTATTTAGATTAGCCAAAGCAAAAAACATATCTGCTACGTGGCTACTCAATTATGAAGCAGAAAAACATTTTACGAATGCAGTTCGCAAAGCTAAGCAGAGCCTTTTTGGAACCCCTCTACCCAGTGTGCTTAAGAATAGCCCCAAAAGGTTTTGAAAAACTGTAAACCCTTCAGCCGTAACTTCAATCTACTTACATGGTAATTCCGATGAGCCCTTAAGTAACAGTGAATGTGCAAATACGTTAAAGGAATGCGTTCTGCTCCGTTTTTACGCAAGAGCGCAGCCTGACCCCCCCCCTCCCCCCTCCCCCCCCAACTGCTACCGACAGAGTGATTCCTGAAGCTATGTCTCCAGCATTGACAATGCCGTTGTAGTTAACTGACTACGCCGTTGTAGTTAACTACAACGGCATAGTCAGTGTGATTAACACTATGAAACTTTCATCAGCTGCTGGACCAGACAACACTAACTGCAAAATACTGAAAAACACAAAGGTGGTAAGCAGCGACACTCTCGCCTTACTGTTCTCTCAATCGCTCGAAACAGGTCACGTACCCGTTCAGCGGAAGTTAGGTAAGATCATTATAATCCCCAAATCCGGTGCCAGGTCTTCACCATATAATTACTGGCCCATATATTTGACAAGCGTGCAGTCAAAAATTTTGGAACACATAATTTTCACAAACAGTGTCAATCACCTAGAGCGCAACAACTTCATACACCCTTCACAACACGGTTGCCGTAGGGGTCTATCTTGTGAAACACAACTAGCCGGATTCCTTTACGACCTACATATTAATTTCCACAATAACACACAGACGGACACCATTTTTCTTGATTTCGAAAAAGCGTTCGACAAAGTCCCGCATCGACGACTAACTTGCCCTGCTTAACCTAGACCCGTTGGTGTTATCCTGGATTAACATCTTCCTTTCTAACGGAAATCAGTTCGTCATCGTAAATAGCACCCCCTCTAACACATGCCCCGTTCTCTGGGGTGTCCCTCAAGGCCTCTCCTCTTTTTGATATACATTAATGATTTGCCACTCCGTGTATCTGATAACATCCTCCTCTTTGCCCGATGAGTGCGTCTTATATTCCAAAATTAACAGTTACGACGACCAAGTAACATTGCAGGCAGACCTTTCAGTTATAAAACAATTGTGTAATAAATGGCAAATTTCCTTAAATGTTTCAAAATGTAAACTTGTCTCCTTTCACAAGCACACCAATCCATTTACTTATAATTGCTCCATCGGTAGTTCTGTCCTACAATCAGCTTGTACTTACAAATACCTAGGCGTGGACTTCAGTAAAGACTTTTCATGGTCCAACCACATAAGCAGTGTAATTTCCACCGCAAGTAAATCCCTTGGTTATCTACAACGTACCATAAAATTCGTCCCTCCTCAATTGAAACTGCTCACCTATACAACACATATCCGCCCTAACTAGAATATGCCGCAGCGATATGGGATCTATACCAAAATTATCTTATCGAAAAGTTGAAAGCCATTCAAAATTGTGCTGTAAGATTCGCATACTCCGACTTCTCGTCCTTTACCTGCGTCACCCAACTGCTAAATCACGTTGTCACCGAACCATTACATCACGCTCCGTTCGCACTTTTCAAGTCTCATTAACAACACCCAATAAGTGTCATATCCTCGCCCAAATACAGATCGATTAGCAAATTCCTTTGTTATTAAAACAGCCAAAAATTGGAACGGTCTTCCTTAAAACATTAGTGCAGCTTAGGAACTTGAATAAATTCAAAGAAGCTCTTATAGCGCTAGATTAGTCATAGTTTCATAATGATGAAATTTTGCGTACATTTCAGTGCTCTCGCTGCCTTGTTTATACAGGTGTGATAATTTTGTATTTTTTTGTATTTTGTTTACAGGTTTTTGGAATTTTTGCCGCTTTGCTGCGTAATGCCCACCCCTCCTGCAATACCCCCTCCTCCAGGGTTTTTTGAGGAAAATAACATAAATAAATAAATAAGTAAATAAATAAATAAACTTGTTGCTGCACACGCGCAGTGTTGTCACGAGGCAGATTATTTGCAACGTCATCATAAGGTTATTACACGTTTACTGCAAGATGCAAAGCCCCTGATGAGGTGTCGCAGCTGTTACGGGAATTGTATAGTGTGGATTCACACAGGTCTGATAATTTTTCTTAGTAGAGATTTTTTCCGACCTTGGAGCTATCACATAGTAAGTGTAAGAGTGGTAGAACACTTACTTGTTAAAGTCGAGCACATTGCAGACAAATATTCGGAACCTCTTATCCGGAGTCTGCGAAGAAACGTGGAGTATAACAAGACACGACTTTGTCAGTATAGATGCAACGAACCAGTTCCGAGAAGAGGACTGCGTATGTGCGAGCCACCTATACACTGAAATACTTGACAGGGTGCCAAAACGGTGCTTCAAAGACATACCGATCAATTTATCCATTTATCACCTTTATTTCTAATGGTTTGCTTTTAATCACAAAATAAGGTGCTGCTCAAAGGAACACCCTTCATTTTTGAAAGGTCTGAAAAGCGTGTGGGAGGGTGTGCTAAAGTAAAGGAGAACACCCATTTTTGAAGGGTCTTGACTGCGCTGATACCCATTTCCAGTAGCTTGGCTCCGTCGTCAAACTGCCAGGCTTTGTGAGTATAGAGGAGGCTATGACAGGTCCCACGATGCATAGCGGTAGCGGTGGTTTAATAAAACTGGTTGTGTGACCATTGCATTATTACTGCATGTACTACCAGCGCGCCTAATTTAAAGATCCATTCGCGGAGGTTGTATGTCAAAGATTCATTCGCGGAAGTTGTGTACCCACGTAAAATATTGACGAGAACCAAGGAACCTATAGTGCAACATTCATAATTGCGTAGTCGGCCACGCGTAGATGATTGTCTTAGTATTTCCTAGTAAACACAGTATAAAAGCAGGTGAAGCAATATGAACAAGGTATTAGACGTAATATTTTTTTATGGAGTAGCCGGTGTCATTTAAAGAATACCATTTCTCCATAATAATGAACTTATCTCTCTTTCTCTCTTTTTTATGAGAAACATATCTCTAAAGTGTCAGCACCTTCCTTTTTCACTGTGTTCACTAGCGTCATAAGGGTGTTGCTATAACGTGTTCTTATTATATTCGTAAGGCGGCTTCCTATGTTGAATGCTAGCTAATAACATATATTTTTATCGTGTGCGTTTAGCAAAAATTCCACATAGAAGGTCTCAACCTTATGTTACCCATCGTCATTATTATCGTCGACATCCTTTCCACCTGAGGTGATGATGCTCCTAAGGCGTAGCTAACATGTCTTTTCACTAATAAATGCTTGACCTTAATTATTTATTATCTTTATGTACTAGAGATCAAAATAAAACTGGCTAGGTGATGCAGTGACCGCTCTATTCCAAGGGCTCAGCAGAATTATGATTGTGGTCACCTTCTGATACGCTTGGTCTTTCCCGCCTTTTGCATAGTCTACAATATTCTGTTTCGGTAAAAGGTTTCCCAACGCTGTTATTTATTCTCACCTGCTACTAAGCAGAATTCCATTTCATGTTCAAGGACAATAAAATTGGTCTGCGGCCTTTTTGCTTTACTCTTTCAACATGGAATGTGGCCCCGCAGTGACATGAAGTCAGCTTATATTTCACAAATCAAATCACTCGGACGTAGACTTGGGAATACTCTTGAAAAGCTGAAAAACAGTGCTCGTGATTATTTTTTAATCATAGATTTTTTTTTACTTCGTGCTCGTGCAATTCCTTCCTAAAGCCAACAAAACATCAATTGATTAGTTGATTGATTCATCCATTCATTTATGCAAAAAATTACTCCCCTTATCGTGGCTGGCATATCTATCCGGAAGGAATGTGCTATATAATTTTTCATACGAATAAGAACTCTACCTGAAATATCTTGCACTTGAGTACAGGGCACTCGGCTTCTTCGAGAGGAAGGCCAATGTCGACTAAACTGCCCCTGGCAGCCGATTCGACAAACTCCACACCGACGACGCGATGACCCTTGTCGTAGAACCTGCAACGACAGTTAATAAGTTACATATATAAGTATCGTTTCTTTCTTGAATAAGCTTTTGCAGTGCCAAAATTACGACCATAATAAGATAGCGCACAGCCGTGTACGCATAAAAAGCAACAAGAAGATTGCATTTTTTTTTCTTAACAATATGAGGTGTCATGCAAGCTTCTTCTGTTGCTTGACACGTCCTATTCAGGTTCCACTCCCGATTAATAAAAAAAAAAAAGTGAAAGCCGCTTAAAACTCCCTGTAACGCCGAATTAGAGCGCAGCTCTTGAGGAGGAGGAGGGAAGGGTACTGGGGGGGGGGGGTGAAGTGAACCTGGGGGGTCACGTGACCTTGGGGGATCACGTGACCTTGAGGGGTCACGTGACGATGCCGATGATGTCATTAGTGACGTCCCTGATGACGTCATCAGTGACGATGACGATGCGGACTCCGATGACGTCATCAGCGATGACGATGACGATGCGGATGCCGGTGAGGTCATCAGTGACGTCACTGATGACGTCATCAGTGATGATGACGATGACGATGCGGATACCGGTGACGTCATCTGGGAGGTCACGTGACCTCGGCGGGGGGTCACGTGACCCTGGGGGTGGTCACGTGACCTCGGGGGGTGTCACGTGACTTCGAGGGTTCACGTGACCTCAGGATGGGTCACGTGACCTCAGGGGGTCACGTGACTTCGGGGGGTCACGTGACCTCAGGGGGTCACGTGACCTCGGGGTGTGTCACGTGACCTCAGGGGGTCACGTGACCTCGGGGGTCACGCGACCTCGGGGTCACGTGACCTCTGGGGAGGGGTCACGTGACCTTGGGGTGACCTTGGGGGTCACGTGACCTTTGGATAACCTTGGAAGTCGCGTGACCTTGGGGTGACCTTGGTGGTCGTGTGACCTTGGAGTGACCTTGGTTACGCCGACGCCGACGGCGACGCCGACGGCGACGCCGCTCAAGCCGGGAACGGGCCCCTAAGAGCTGCGCTCTAAAACATATGTCTGCTTTAAGTAAAGTACTAGCTTGAATGCCGGGATAATGCATCCAACTCAACGCTTCCCTATTGGGAAGGAGATCAGACCGTGGCGCCCCAAGTGGTTAACTTTAGAACTACACGGACGGGGACAACAAATAACAATGACTCAGCGCTCGGCTAACATAACCGAACGCCGCGTCGGCGTTCACCTGGAGTTTGTGTTCTCCGCTCGTCATGAGGGAGAAGAGGGGCTCTTTTGTTACCACTCCGGGCTGCATGAATAATGCAGCATGCACGCTGCATATGCCGAGCTCAGGACGAAAGCCGAAGTGGGTCAAGCTCGCATTCTTCGGCAAATGCTTTCGGGAGAGATTGGGCACTAACAATAAACATCACTTCGTTTATTGTTAGTATATTTACGATGCACTGTGCCCCGCGCTCTGTTAAAGAAGATGGCGTCAACATGATGAGGTCCATATGCCCACAAGGCCTTTAGGCATGTACACAGGCCTTGTGTTGGGCAAACACCGAGATGTGGAGATAACGAACGTTTCAGAGCGCTCCCTATAGTTCGATCTCCACTTGTATAGGATAAAGTCTCCGAAGTCTCCATTAGCACCCAATATCACACAACTCGCATCATCCGGTACAGGATTTTCCTACCGGCGGTGCAGGTAGGAAAATTATATTGTTCTCAAATGTTTTTGCTAAACATTCCAAGGGATGCATGTCTTACTCAGAAGTAAAGGTACACACCGTAATTATTTCCGAGTCTATAAAACAAGCCAATGACGTAAAGCAAGCCGGAAGCTCGCTCGTCATCGGCTTGTTAGGCCTATCCTCGGATCAGTCCACGTCCACGCATACACTCGCCCTGTCGAGCGCACGAACGTTAACTATGCACGCCAACACGGGAACATGACAACAACGCACGGCACACGGCATAAACGGCAAATTCAGATCGCAGAACTGAGCGTCTCGCAAACTGATCCCAACGTGGTTGTGGTCATCGCCTACTCTATACTGACAAAGCCTGGCAGATCACCATGAGACGCAGCCGCCCAAAATGGAAGAGGTAGAGCGGCAGACAACGAATGAGAGGAGAGCATAGGGAGCCTACGTAGGCTCTCTAGGAGAGCAAGGTGACAGGCGCCCCGCTGCGGCGAGACGCCGAAACACACTTCTCCCGAGCGATGGGATGTCCGCTCATGCTCCTCGCGTGCCTCGCGCTACCGCTTTTTTTTCTAATCGGGTTTGAAAACCACGTTTCGGATCCTCGCCGCTGCAAAAGCTGTGCGCCGACGACCAAGTTCCTCAAGAAATGCCCTGTGCTACCAGTGTCTTGCGCTCCAAATCTGCGACCGGGCACTCTATGGCTCCGTCGTCGAAGTGCCAGGCTTTGTGAGTATAGAGGAGGCTATGTTGTGGTGCAATGTTTCCAAGTACCTTGTGAAAGAAAACATATTTTAAAGAACGTAAGAATAAAAGAAAAACGTAAGAAACCTTTCTTGTCTTTGGAAACGTTTTTAACACGTGCTACGTGGCTATATTCCTTCCAGTTAAACCCCAAATTCCTGCCAGTTAAACCCATTGCATCAACGATGGCTGCGCTGTCGGCAGAGCTTGCTTCCACGAAGTGCTGGAATAGAGGCTGCGATCGTTATAAGTCAGCTCCAACCCTTAGACATGCCTCCTCCTACAATATTTGAGATACGATTTTGTGCGGACCCCCCCCCCCCCCCCCCCCCCCTCCTTTGCGTTCCGAAACAGCAAGTGCGTCGCTAAAGCTGGCCATCGGCAATGCAGCAGGTGCCACCATCTTGTTTGCGCTTTTGGGCATCGTTCGGGTAGTAAATAGCTAGTAAAAAGGTAGTAGCAGTCAAAAAAAGGTAGTCATGGCTGCAGAATGGGAAGGTAAAAATCGCGATCCAGGCCGCGCTACCTACTTTGAAAAGAGTCATGCTGGCGCGGGCGCCCGTTTCACGAAAGCGCCTTTGAAAAAGGCGATCTCATGCCTGTAGCTTTCGCTCACCACTGCGATTCATGTCTAAGCCCTGGTGCCACGAGATAGAAAAGTGCAGTCAAATGAGTCCTCACCACTTTAGCTCTGGAGCCTTCCCAGACATTGGAACGTAGACCTGTGCATCCTGTTTTCCCGCTAGAATAACGTCTTGATGCTTCGCCAGGAGTCTGCGTGAAGAAAAAGAAGCTACATCCTGAGGAGGTTTCTGATATCGCCTATATGGCGTATACCTCACTCTGCTAGCTTTAAGCAACCTGGAAATCCCAAATCCCTAATTACTGATGATACGCCGGCGATTTGTCTATTGAAAAAAAAAATTAAAAATTGCAACACACCGAGGTCATTTCAGCTGATGGGAGGAGCATGTTAAAAAATCAGGGCGATTGCCAGTCAATAGCAAGCAAAGGTATTCGTGTCTCCGACCGGTGGACCCGCGGAGTAATATCTCGAATGCACGTGGCTCGTCGCCCGGAGTCCGAACACCCTGACTTTGGCGAGCTTTTTTAGTCAGCAGTACTTTCACACCCGCGACCTACGGATGATAAGAAAAAAGCGTGGACTCGGGATGCTGACGGATCGGAATGCACGCTTGGAAGTCACCTGCGTCGCAGCCGGAACCTGCGCGAGGAAGACAGATATTTCAGCCCAGCGTCCTACACTAAAATGGAACAAACTGGAAGGTTCCTTAACCATTGAACGTTGTGTGTAGCAGCTGGGTACATTATAATCGCGTTGTTGTAAAACGCGAGTGACAATTTAAAACATGTTTCCGAAGTCTGAGAAGCAGACGGCACGGAGGACGATCGCGTTGCTCGCGTCTGCGGCGCTCGCGGAGCGATACGCGACCGGCACATCCGGGCACCTCGGACCACCAAACAGCGCGCAGCTATGGTTTGTGAAGGAACGACGTTTTCGTCGGTTACTACATTCTACCGAGGGCATAGAGAGAAACGGGAGACAAACAACGGGACGATGGAGCTGGCGTGGCGTGTCGCCGCACTATATTTTCTCCGCTCCGCACGCCGCAGCACGCTGCCTCACAGCCACGCCATAGGCCTCCTGCGTTGCCCAGGAAGCGCTGTCAAAATGGACTTGTTAGGACTTGTCTTGGGTAGTATACAGACTTGTCCGTCTCCAACTGTCACATAGGTGCAAGCGTGCCTGATCTGGCGCGGAACGCGATAACGATGAAAATACAAATAAACAAATGCTAACGCCGTCAAGGCACAGGTTTACGCTAAGACAATCACAGCGTAAACCAAAAAACGCCGTGCCACGCTTAAAAAAATATTGAATCTAGCCAACTTCGGACGTCGAAAGGCGTTTTTGCGCTCTTCAACACTACACAAAAAGACAAAAGGTCAACCAAAACCCCACAAGTAGTACGGGGCCCAATAAGATAAGCTTGCACTACCCAAAATGAGATCGCCACAGGTTGTTCAGAGCTTCAGCGCAGGAGGCCTATCCGCGCCCCCAGCTCTCCCGAGGAAGCGACGGTCGCTTCCCGCAGTGCAGCCTTGCATTCAACATGGCCGCCTCGAGTACAATATTGAGATACTCTGCTCCGCAAGCGGGGCCCATACAGTTACTCTACGTGTTCCTATCGGCGTGTGGCAATTTGCCGATTCTTTAAAGGGACCATGAAACGATTTTAAAATCGAATTTCACCCAACGCACGTCGCAAAAGGTGTCAAAAAGAACTAAAAAATTGGGAGCTAAAGAAAATTCGTCGCTATAGAGTTTAAAAAAAAAAACTGGACTATTTTGGGCCTTCTTTCCTTCGAAAGCTCTCTGGATTTTCACAGCGATGCTTCCGCGGAACCGTAGCACGTCAGCAAAATACAGGTCGCCTATTGGGTAAGAGCCTACCTCACCAGCACCGCGATCATAAACAACAAATTACTGACGAATGTTTCTTAAAAGTTTTGTTAAATAATATTCAGATCTACACGTTGAACAATAATTAGAGATTTCACGAAAATTGACGACTTTGATAATGCTTAGGGTTCCTCAATGCGCGCGCGCGCGCATCGAGGAACCCTAATAATGCTCAGAGCCAAGCGCCATCTATCGTACACACTAAAAATTTCAACACCCAGGTTCGTATTAAAAGGGTGTTTTTCCGAGCTCACACCCTTCCTACACCATTTTTACATGATTTTTGAATATTCAAGGGTGTACGGAAAGGCCTACACCCTTCGTACATCCTTTTTACACCCTACGGCTACCGAAATCGTGTTAAGAGGGTGTTGCGGTGGTACACCCATGATTTCCGAGTCGTCGAACTCGGAAACCGCCGAATTGCAGACATACGCGCCGACAGCAGAAGTCAAGAAGCAGCCTGCTCAATTTAGAGGATTTCGTGAAGTTCAAGTAAGCACAATGGGCAGCTGACATCCAAGCTGTTCAAGCCAAGCCAACGCTCAAGTTGTTTTCAGGCCAGATGAATGCCGGCGTTGTGTACCAGCTCCTTGGTTGTTTACGTGCAAGCGACCACGAAAATAGCATCGGTTACTCACGCACTTCTGCTGAGAATGGTGAGACCACATCGGTTCTATTACGATACATTCCGTCTCATCCTGAGATGTACTAAAGCGAAGGCTAGACGTGCGAGACGGTTCGGGCTCACAGCTTTACTGTGAGCCTGTACCGTAAAGGTCGGTTCCGACACTTGAGTTTGAGTGTGTTTGTCTGCGTTGCGTTTAGAACCGAAAACGAGTCACCGGCACATCTGTGCTTCGTATGAAGCGTGGATTCCAATTCAAAGAATCATCTTGGCACGCGATATAAGCAGCAGAGATGTCCTGGTTTCTCGCAGCCGCAACGCGGTCAAACGCAACTGTTTGAACCAGGCTTTACGTGGTTGTCCTGTGCTTGTCCCTCGCGCTTTATTTTTTCGATTTTAAGTATTCATTTTCAACTCGCTCGCTTTTACCAGTACTAGTAGATACTCAAGCTGCACGAGGGTTCGTGCAGTGCGACCATCTAGCGATGCTATGAGCTTGTGCTCGAGCCTTGGCTTTAATGCATCTTAGTGTGGAAGGCAATCATCGGGGATATATGACACACGATGATGCCAAGTCTGTTCACGGCGGACTCTCGTGCTGTTCTGATTGGAGGAGAAGGGGCGTGTAAAAAAATGGCAAATGAAACATAATTAGCGACAGCGCAAATATATGTTGGAAAAAGTTAAGAATAGTGAAGTGCAGCAGCCTGAAACTTTGGAGTTAAGCAATTAGAGAATCATTTGAAGACATCTTTAGAGGTTCAGCCTTCTCTCCCCCCACACCAATATCGAAGGCTGCTAGGATATTGGTTCAGGATAAGCCCTCTGTCTTTCAGTCAGCGAACTCGAGCCGTTCCACCTGACCTTGTTATTCCATAACAGATATGTTAGAAAATGGAATGCAGATTTTCTTTACACGGCCAAAACATAAAGTGTTATCAAATAATACCTGCCATATTCATATTCTACATTTACAGACCTAGCCTGCCCCCCGCCTGTGGAGGGTGAAGATGCGAGCAGCCTCGAAGCCCACCAACAGTGGCTGTGTGCTGAGTGCGAAAGCTGGTGCCTGACGAAGGCCAGATTGATCTTCGAATGGATGCGACTGCCTGCAAATGGCTACATGCGTTGATATTGATGGGCATATAGACTGCACAGAATGCTTATCCCTACCTGATGGATGCTAGGAGGGTATGCATTCCATATTTTTTTACTGATCTCTACGACAATTGCTAAATTGCGCTTCCCCGCTCCGTGATTGCGGCTGCCGGACGACCATCTTGGGACACGGAAAATTAACCTTTTGGAGCGTTGCAGAGGCTGGCCGGCAGCGTGCTGAAGACATGTTTTTTGCTCGTTTGTCGTCATTGGGAGCGTTAAAGTGGCCCTGCAATAACTTTTTGACTGGTTTTTAATTTGGACCGAACCTGAGCGCACTGAACGTAGTAATTTAAAGAAAATTTTCTTTTCTCAAATTTCGCTTTATTTTAAAAGTTATAGGCAAATTAGACTTACAAAAACAAAGCAAAAAATAACATCCTTCATGACGTCGTAGGTCCTGGCTTGAGTGGCCGTGAAGTAGTGAGCTCATCGAGCGCTCACGGCTGCCGCACTCAGTGTCGACGGCTCGAGAGGGTGCCACTAAAGCACGTGTTGACTAGGCTGTATGAAGCGGGCGGCCAGGGCAGCACGCATTGCATTTGCCGCGCGATTAAAGACTAATTCGGCATAACACTTCATTGGCCACAAACGACGGCAAACACGGGGTAAAGATCAGTTCAGAACGGGAGCCACTTCGCGCTGCCATACCGCCAAAGGGTCAAATCGCCAGCCAAGCCCGCGCCGAAAGCCTTGGGAACGCTCGGAACCGGTCGGATCCTCGAGCCGGTATACGACCGCAGCGCCACCGCGTACATCCGGGACATTTCTAAGCCCATTGTTCGGCGGAGCCTCATCCCACTACGCCTTTCTAGTACAGTAAAACCTCGTTGTAACAACACGGGATATAACAAACTAATGGATATAACAAAGCAATCATAATTCCCCTTGCTTGCTAATAGTGGGAAGAAATGGACATTGGCTATAACAAACTAATGGTTATAACAAAATAATTACGATCGCTCCTTCAACTTTGTTATAACGAGGTTTTACTGTATGCGCCGTTTTTTTCACCGCTTGGTGGCGGGTTTGTCGACGGGTCTTTTCTTGTTTCCCTACTTTATAAACTGCATTTGTTTCTTTTCTGATCTAAAATACTGAACAGAAACTACTTTCATACATAATTGAAACGGTTCGCGACACTTATATTTTGTATCGACTAAAAAAAAAGCTTTTAGCGTCTCTGACCAGTAGTAAGCCCAGGACCAAAGACGTCACATATTCCGCGCTTTCGGCAACGCGGGTCGCCCTCGTAGGTGGAGGAGGTTTCCGCGTCGTCCGGTTAAAATATGACTCACTGATATTTAGTTATTCTCTCCGTGCCCGCTGGCTTGCCCGAACCCAAAGAGACGTGGAAACCGCAAAAGAGGTAGACGCTTAAGTATGATTGCAGCTCCCCTTTAAGTCCACACTCCTTTACTCCTACTCTGACACTCCGAGTTTCATACTCCAGGCACAGCAACTAAACGGCGCATGGCGTACAGGAGCACGACACACCGAATC